CTGAACCGTAGCAAATCTGTAGCAGTAAAATGGAACAAAAGGCATGAGGATTAAGGCAACTTAGGATGTGCTACAGTAGCGACAGTTCTGTCACATACCTGTACATCACCCACTTTTACAACTTTGAATGTAGAAAAAGTGATTGAAATTAATTCTTTCCTTTACATTGCAGTAAGACATGAAATGACAGATAACCTACATTGAGAGGAAGTCTGAATAGCAAGTCTATGCCACCGTGTACAGTAGCTTCATGGTGTAAGGCAGAGACAGTCACACCAGAAACAGACACACAATTGCAGCATATTTCATCCATAATACTTGCTCTGAAGTGACCCAAGATCAGCAGTGCTGATGGAGCAGGTATATGAAAAGAGCAACATGCATGATTTGTCAATACTGTGCTTTGAAAAATACTTTGCAGCTGCTGTGTATCCGTACATACACCTGCATTGACTTCTCAACCACAGTTTAGGTTGAGTTTAGCAATGCCACTGTTGGTTTAACATGGTTTAGCCCCAGATGGCAACTACATACAATACAGCTGCTCATTCGCTTTCCTCTTCCTACTCTCCATCATGAGATGGAGAGGAGAATCAAGGGAAGGAAAAAAGTTATAACTTGTGGGCTGAGATAAGAACAGTCTAATAATTGAAATAAAGTGAAATATACTGATAATTGTAGTAAAAAGGGGAGAGTGAAAACCCAAGAAAAGAAGTGATGCACAATACAATTACACACCACCCCCTGACCAATGCCTATCCTGTCCCTGAGCCGCAGTTGGCACCATTCCAGGTAACTCCTCCTCTTTATATACTGTGTATGCTGTTCTATGCTACAGAATATCCCTTTGACCAGTTTGGATCAGCTGCCCTGGCCATGCTTCCTCCCTGCTTCTTGTGCACCTGCTCACTGACAGAGCATGAGACACTGAGGAGCCTTGATTTAGGGCAAGCACAGCTCAGCAACAACCATGACATCCATGTGTTACCAGTGTTCTCATACTGAATCCAAAGCACGGCATTTCTTACTACCAGGTACTAAGAAGAAAAACTATCACAGCCAAAACCAGGACACAGCTGTAACATAAACACAAACTGGGGAATTCTTGGGGGTACAAAGCAGTAGGCAAATGGATCGTTTTCCTTCTGTTGTGAGCTTGCAATCTCTTGCTCGTGCTACTGTTTGGTTTGGAGACCTTGACAGGCAGATTTGGTCCCTGTTGCCCTTAAATTCAGATGACTCATAGAGAAATAATCACATGGTGCTGCAGGAAGAGGTTGCTTCTGTCTAAGACATCACTACCTTTTTACTGTTGCTGTAATGGAAGGTAAAACCCAACCCATTATGTGTGATGTTTGTAATCTTAACAGCTCATGCAGCATCACTGATGCTTTTGTCAGAAGGTGTGATTAGTCACATTTCTGCTGCTTGTTTCCTGTACAACCTAAAAATTTTCTAGTGTAAGCTTTTATTTTTTAGCAGCAAGGAAGCAGTTCAGAATTTACCTCAGTGATTGTGAACTCTAACCTGATTTTTGTGCCTGTGCTCAGGTGGGAAATTGGAGACCCAACTGCAGCCCAGCCCAGCTAGGTAACCCTTGTTAATGAGTTTGGGGGCTTGCATTACATCTGGTTCCAGCTAGCTGCCAAAGTGTCCAGGGCAATGGGAAAGCTTTGATGCTGCTGGCATTCAGATTGAGGGGATTAATACTGCTGTTGCTTTGCACATGGGTGACATACTCTTCTTTCAGATTGCAGTGTTAGTATGGGTGGGATGATGCAAATTGGGAATGAGTTACTTCATCCCTCACAGTCCTTGTTTGCTTCAAAGCTGCTGCTTGGCCAAATAACAAAATAATAAAATGTAATAAATATGTTTCATCATAATTCCTCCCCCCAAAAAAAAGGGGTTTCAGCCATTCTACGTAGCAGCGGCTTTGCCGTGAGTGCTAGGTCTGGAGTACCTGTTTTGCTACTGCCACTTGGGAGGCAGCTGCTTCCTCTCATCTGAATTTAGTGACTTGTAGCTGTCCATGCAAGCTCTTGAAAGAGGCTGAGGTGATTACTGTGAATGCTTAACAGTTTAGACTTAACTTGCAGGACAGTCTGCCCAGTAGCACTGATTGGAGAAGAGGGAAACACATACTGGACTTGAAGGAAATCCATAAAAAGGCTGGGGTTGGCTAACTTCTTTTAGAATTTGCAGAGACAAGCACAGTGTCCAGTGGGAGAATGCCAAAGGTACATAAGCAGCACTGCCATTTCTTTACCAAGACATTTTTTCTCATCCTTATCAAGATTACTTTGTGCTTGTTTTAGAGCTTCATACTTTGTTGAAGGAATGTGAGGAAATGTTGATGTATAACAAGAAGCACCAATTTTTTTCCCCTTAATATGCATCAGCAAAACTGATGTATTTCACTGCTTGCGTTGTTGTCAGAACCTGGGATGGTGAAACTGAAGATGCATGGTTATTCTGTTTATCTCTTCATTGAAAGATTCATTTAATGCTTTGTTCTGTGGCCTTTATGACAGCATAGCTGTTATGTGCTGCTTCTGTAATAAAGCTAGGCCTAAAGTTTTTCAAGGCTGTGAAAGGAGTAGAAGGGAAAGAAGGATTATATTCCTAGAATTTTGCTTAGACTTCTCATGAAACACCAGGCAATGTTAACTGATTTTCTCATCCTCATGAGAATGGAGGTCTTCACTGCAGACCTTATTATAAGTAGCCTGCCAGTGTCTAAAGGGGATCTACAAGAAAGCCAGAGTGATAGGACAAGGGGGAATGGCTTCAGACTGAAAAAAAAAGTGAGTTTAGCTTGGATATTAGGAAGAAATGATTTACTCTGAGGGTGGTGAGGGCACTGGAA